TTATTTTTGGGGATTTTTTGGGTTTTTTAGGGAATTTTTTTGGTTGTTTTAAGGGAATTTTTGGGGTTTTTTGGGGGATTTTTTTTTATTTTTAGGGAATTTTTTGGTTTTTTTGGGGATTTTTTTTTTAATTTATTTTTTGGGGATTTTTTGGGTTTCTTAGGGAATTTTTTGGGTTTTTTGGGGGATTTTTGGGGATTTTTTCGGGATTTTTGGGGATTTTTTTTGGATTTTTGGGGGATTTTTTGCGGATTTTTTGGGGTTTTTTTGGGGTTTTTTTTTTTGATTTTTTGGGGATTTTTTGGGGATTTTTTTTTGGACTTTTTGGGATTTTTTTTGGGATTTTTGGTTTTTTTTTTTTAGGGGATTTTTTGGGGTTTTTAGGGAATTTTTGGGGTTTTTTAGGGAATTTTGGGGATTTTTTTAGGGAATTTTTTGGGTTTTTTAGGGAATTTTTTTGGGTTTTTAGGGAATTTTTGGGGACTTTGGGGGACTTTTTTGGGGATTTTTGGGGATTTTTTAGGAATTTTTTGGGGGGATTTTTAGGGGATTTTTTTGGGATTTTTAGGGGATTTTTAGGGAATTTTTTGGATTTTTTTAGGGAATTTTTTTGGTTTTTTAGGGAATTTTTTTTGGGATTTTTTGGGGTTTGTTTAGGGTTTTTTTTTTTTTTTTAGGGAATTTTTTGGGACTTTTTGGGGATTTTTTAGGGATATTTTTTAGGGAATTTTGGGGGATTTTTTGGGGAATTTTTTGGATTTTTTAGGGAAATTTTTGGGATTTTTAGGGAATTTCTTCGGTTTTTTAGGGAATTTTTTGAGATTTTTAGGGGATTTTTTTGGGGATTTTTGGGGATTTTGGGGGATTTTTTGGGGGATTTTTGGGGGTTTATTGGGGATTTTTGGGGGATTTTTTTTTATTATTTTTTGGGTTTTTTAGGGAATTTTTGGGATTTTTAGGGGATTTTTTTGGGGATTTTTTATGGAATTTTGGGGGATTTTTTGGGGATTTTTTATGGAATTTTTGGGGATTTTTTGGGATTTTTGGGGGATTTTTTTGGGGAATTTTTTTGGATTTTTGGGGGATTTTTTTTGGAATTTTTGGGGATTTTTGGGGACTTTTTTTGGGATTTTTTGGGATTTTTTGGGGTTTTTTGGGGATTTTTTTAAAATTTTTTTTTTTTGGGGGGGTTTTTTGGGGAATTTTTTAGGGAATTTTTGGGGATTTTGGGGGACTTTTTTGGGGATTTTTTAGGGAATTTTTTGGGGTTTTTGGGCTTTTTAGGGATTTTTTTGGTGGATTTTTTGGGGACTTTTTTGGGATTTTTTGGGTTTTTTTGGGGGGATTTTTTTAGGGAATTTTTGGGATTTTCTGGATTCAGTTCCAGGGAATTTTGGGATCTGCAGGGAAAGGCAGCAGCTGCTGGGAGGCTCCAATTAGGAATGAATTGTTAATGAGCTATTAAATTGTATTAATTGGATATTAGTTAGTTATTAATTAGGTACATAATAGTTATTAATTGCTATTAATTTGTTATCAATTGGTATTAATTTACTACTAATTGGTATTAATCTGCTATTAATTTATATTAATTTGCTATTAATTGGCATTAATTTCCTATTCATTGCTATTAATTTACTATTAATTGGTATTAATTTGCTGTTAATTGCTATTAATTTGTTATTAATTGGTATTAATTTACTACTAATTGGTATTAATTTGCTATTAATTTATATTAATTTGCTATTAATTGGCATTAATTTACTATTAATTGGTATTAATTTACTATTAATTGGTATTAATTTGCTATTAATTTATATTAATTTGTTATTAATTTGCATTAATTTCCTATTAATTGCTATTAATTTGCTATTAATTACTCGTTGCTATTAATGCCATATTAACTAATTATTAATGAGCTGATAATTGGCAGCTGATTCGTTATTCATTGTTATTGCTTGGTCATTAATTGGTTGTTAATTGGAGATTAATCAGACACCAATGGGTAATTATTATTATTAATGGGTTTATTATTATTATTATTATTATTATTATTATTATTATTATTATTATTATTATTATTATTATTATTATTATTATTAATGGGATTATTATTATTATTATTATTATTATTATTATTATTATTATTATTATTATTATGTTATTAATTGGGTGTTAATTGGCGATCATTGAGTGTTAATTAGCAATTGGAATTTGGGGAATCCTGGCTGGAAAATCCATCCCAGCATTCAAAAAGGAAAAAACAAAAAATTGGGAATTTTCCATGGGAAAAGCTGGGATTCCCTGGGCAAGGAAAAATTGGGAATTTTTCAGTTCCAGAGGGACAAAAAACCAAGGAAAAATTGGGAATTCTCAATCCCAGAGGGAAAACGGGCAGGAAAAATTGGGAATTTTCAATCCTAGAGGGATAAAGAACAAGGAAAAATTGGGAATTTCTCAATCCCACAGAGATAAAAATCAGGGAAATTGGGAATTCCTCAATCCCTGGGCAAGGAAAAATTTGGAATTTCTCAATCCCAGAGGGAAAATGGGCAGGAAAAATTGGGGAATTCTCATTCCCAGAGGGATAAAACCCAAGGAATTTGGGAATGTGGAATCCCAGCCCCCGTCCCTGCAGCCTCTCCCAGCCCTTCCCAGGTCTGTCCTTGATGGAAAATTCCAGAAAAAGCCAAAAATCCCCGGGGGGGGCGGGGCAGGGACCCCGGGGAGCCCCGGAACTGGGGCAGGGCCTGAGCAGGAACAGGGGGGGAGCGGATGGGATGGGATTGGTTTATTTATTTTATTTATTTTATTTTATTTTATTTTATTTTATTTTAATTCTATTTTTATTTCATTTATTTTATTTGATTTATTTTATTTTATTTCATTTATTTTATTTTATTATTTTATTTTATTCTATTTTTATTTTATTTCATTACATTTATTTTATTATTTTATTTTAATTCTATTTTAATTTTATTTCATTTATTTTATTTTATTTATTTTATTTCATTTATTTTATTTATTTCATTTCATTTTATTTTAATACTATTTTTATTTTATTTCATTTATTTTATTTCATTTATTTTATTCTATTTATTTTATTTCATTTATTTTATTTTATTTTATTTTATTCTATTCTATTTATTTTATTTTATTATTTTATTTTATTTCATTTATTTTATTTTATTTATTTTATTTTATCCTATTTATTTTATTTTATTATTTTATTTTTTTTATTTTATTTTTATTTTATTTTATTATTTTATTCCATTTTTATGTCATTTCATTTATTCTATTTATTTTACTTTATTTTATTATTTTATTTTATTTTATTCTATTTTTATTTCATTTCATTTCATTTATTTTATTTATTTAATTTAATTTTTATTTTATTTTATTTTATTCTATTTTTATTTTATTTTACTTTATTCTATTTTTATTTTATTTCATTTCATTTCATTTTTTTACTTTATTTTATTTTATTTCATTTCATTTTATTTTATTTTTTACTTTATTTTATTTTATTTCATTTCATTTCATTTCAAAAAAAACCCCAGGAAAATACCAGGGAAATGCCAGGAAAATGCCTGGAGAAATCCCAGAAAAATCCCAAAGAAATTCCAATTAAACCCCAGTAAAATCCCAAATAAATCCCAGTAAAATCCCAATTCCACCCCAGTTCAACCCAGTGAATTCCCAATTAAATCCCAGTAAAATCCCAGAAAAATCCAAGTAAAATCCCAATTCAATCCCAGTCCAACTCCAATAAAATCCCAATAAAATCCCAGAAAAATCCCATTAAAATCCCATTAAAATCCCAATAAAACCCCACTAAAACCCCACTAAAATCCCATTAAAATCCCATTAAAATCCCATTAAAATCCCATTAAAATCCCACTAAAACCCCACTTCACCCCTGCCCAAT